CTTATGGGCGTTTTGCAAGGCTTTTGCCCCAAGTGGTTTCTGTTTCTATCCGAGAAGAATGTTTCAATCGAATGTAATTGGTCAGACAATTTTCCTTGGAAAAGGAAATGCACACATTATAATGAGGTGCCTAACGAAAATCTTTGAAGGTTTTGAATATTTCGGAGACAGCTTTGGAAAAGAAAAAATGCCTTTGCAAGAGAAAAAAAAAGAAAACAAAATGCCCCCCCCCCCCCAAAGAAAAAAAAGAAGACAACAACAAAAAAAACCGCAACCCCGAAATCCCTGAAAAGATCGTTAGGGTCTTTCGTTTCATAATGCATTATTAATAGATTCCATATCTTTCTCCGCTTAATTGCAGCTCTGGCACACAGGGAGCTATGCCATTGATTTTTAAGCTCGTTTTATTCACAAAGAAGAATACAAATCATTTCATTGTAAAAAGATTATTTGTTTCTTAACCATGAGGATCGAGAAATTCGTCTTGCTCAAATTGATATGTTACCAGTTACCTTAATATTTATTTGTATGCTTTCTTTTTTTACCCTTCTAAAATCATAAATCAGAGACTGGAAGCTTATTGGCCATATTCCTAACTGTGTACGAAAATAATTGTCTTCCATTCCAGAGGGATTTGTCTGTTTAATCGAGTGTCTCTCTTTCACTGCTGGGACACCGTCTCCCTTTCACACCCCGTTTACTCTGAGAGACTTTCAAATGCTCTAAATTGTGCCCAAGCTGGCACAAAACCCGATGGTGTTAAAAACAACTAGCATACAGTCAAAGTGCATCAAACAATAAATGATTTTTGGGTTATGTTATAGAATATGGCGTCGGTGGCCTAGTGGTTAGGCCCTCATACTCGCAACCGCAATGTCGTGTGTTCGAATCCCACCAGGGACCCGACGTTGTGCCCTCGGGAAAGGCACTTTTTCTCACTTCATCCAGGTGAGAATGGGTACCCAACTATAGACAGTGAAAGAGCTTGTTAGTTTGTTAGTGCCTGAGAGTTTAATCAGCTGCTTGCACTGTATGCTTCCCAAGAAGCTGAACATGATTCTAAGTGTTCTGTGGTCTGCTGGGATAATAATAGAGTGTAAAGCACCTGGGGCTTGCTGTAGAGCCGAGTTATGCGCTATACAAATGCTATCCATTATTATTATTAGATATATTTAACTTTAATGCCTTTGAAGTAAATCAAGCAAAATGTCTCTTTCATTAGGCAGCGTGCTTTGTGCGGCGAATTCCACGAGAACCTGTAAAAGAACAGAAATGTTCTGTTTGTTTTGTCCTTCTATTTACCTCCGTTTTCCTTTTTACTTATTTCAAGTAATGGGGAAAGTTCCGTCTTATCCCTCTTATTCTATTTTTCCATCTATATGTATCTTTGTTACCCTGAGGGTGCCGTCGGGGATACACTTAATATTCTATCGTGCAGGCAAAAATCAGCACAACTCTCTTGTTAGTACGAGTAATGTTATGGTGCATGGTTGAAACACCCAGTTCAATACTGTAAGATAATGTGTGAGGTGGAGAGTAAAAAAAATCATTTGAACGAAAGTGCAGTCAAACTTCGGTGGCGCAGTTTATTGTCAAATATTTCCTCAACTATCGGACAGAAAATGACCAGATTTTGCATTATGAATTGTATCAATTTGTTTTTAACCGATAAATATTTTGTAAACACCAGTTAACTGTGTACAAGAAAGTATCTTAATAATCAATTACGTATGAAAAAATTAAAGTGGGTGGGGTCTACATGATTTTAAAGATTTACAGCAAGGACAATATTGTTTTTGAAAGTAAGTAGTGTGTCATATTTTTTCTTATCACGACTTTATAACAAATTAAACGCAAATTTTGAGAAGTCATATTGCAAAAAAGTGTTCACTTTAGAACAAATTTCTTGTAACAAGTTTTACTACTAAAAAGTGTCATTGATGAGCTTTGACGTAGGTCATATGCGTATGCAAAATGTGTGAGAGAAGCAGGAAGTGCTGGGAACAATACCATTTTGTGCGTGATGAAGATTTTTAGTATCTCGTATAAATTAATGAAGCCTCGATTGTAAAGAAAAAATATTATTAAGTTATGACAACTTGATACAGACTGATGGGAAAAGCCTGAGTGACATTGATTCACCCGCTAAAGAGATATTTGAGGATAAGTTGTGCTAGGAATTTTGGACGGCATTAAAAAAGGAAACAGAACCTACCTACGTATGGCTCGTCTTAAGGGAATCTGTTTGTTTGTTTTAGTAAGGTTTTACAGCAGCTATCAGCACTCAGTCCTGTCTGCATTGCATAGAAGGATAGAGGATAAAATGGTTTGGCCACCTGTTACGCATGTCACCTGACCAGCCAGCCTCGAGAGCCTACAACACCAAGCACTCAGGCTATAAAGGAAGAGAAAGGCCATACAAAAGGTAGATCGAGGGTGTCAAGGAAACCCTAAGAAAACATAGCATCACAACTGAAAGAGCTGCGGAGCTGGCCAACCATAGAAAACTGCATCTCCCCTCAACGGTTAACGGCAACAGAGGATGAAAAAGAAAAAGTAGTAAGTACGGCGCTCGCAACTGCGTAAGGTCATATGAGCGCCAAGGGGTGGATGTCAGCAGAGAAGTCCAAGCGGGGAATCAGGCTTACTCTGCTCACCTGTCTAGCCTCAACAGCACAAAATCTGCTTCAACTATCAAGCCCCCCCCCCCCCCCCCCCTTCGGAAATAGCTGTTCACAAGAGAGTGACAAATATGCAAGAGAAGTAGAGGTAAAATGACGATAGTAAAGATGAGGAAAAGAAAAAGCAGCAGCTATGCTGTTCCGGCATAGTATGAGCATGACATTGATAAATCAGCCTATTTACAATTCTACAGGGCATAAAAAAGATTTTGCGGTCTAAGACTCGAACGATGCTTGACCCCGATATTTCCTCTTGGAAGGGAGGCCCCTTTACTTTCCACAGGGCCCCCTCCATTGGGAATAGACCAGTTTTCCACCCCCCCCCCCCCCTTTGGGAATGGCCTAAAAATACTTCAGTCAGTAGCACTGCCCTGGGAAGGCGGTGATGTTACATCTAGGAAGGGGGGGGGGGGGGGGGATTGTAAGTATTTTACGGCGCTCGCAACTGCACATGAGCGCCCGGTACACATTAAACATTTTTAGTAGGTAGGAAACTTTGAATTTTGCCCGGGTGGCGGCTGAAGGCTACTTTTATGGTTTTAGACTACCAAGAGATCATTGATGAGCGCAACTTGCACAAGGGACCTCCGATATTTTTTGCCCTTGTCCGAGAAGGCTTGGTGTAGATCTTTCCTACCAGAAGATCAGGGGTATGGCTAAAGACAGCCGAAAGAAGGAGCAAGAGAGCAGGAGAGGAGGTGAAAGGAGACAATTTTAAAGAAGAAAATGTTTCGGTCCTTACGAGGATTCGAACCCGGGACCTTTGAAAAAGAGGGGAAAACCTTAACCTTAAGGCCTCGAGACCCCCCCCCCCCCCTTACATATGTTTGGATTCTCCATGTGATTTAATGGAATAGTGTTATCGCTGTGTTCAGCATGTTCATAGGAAATGATTTGATTTTTAATGGGATGAAATCATCATTCATCGACAACTGAGATGTATACATGTATTATGTTACGGTGAACTCAAAACTTAGGACATTGAAAAAGTGCTGAGGGTTTTTTCCTTTTTTAATCAATTTCTTTGTTATTTGGTAAGATCATCAATACACAACTTTTGTCAACAAAAAAACCGCATATTTCAATCATTTTGTTTTAGCAGCTTCTTTTGTGTGTTGTATTGGAAAAACGCAAATATTTCAGGAGGAAGGATTATAAAATAATCGATCCCCAAAACACTAAAAAGACTATGCTTATAATAACATGGTGTTGGCAGGTTGTTGTAACATGGTTGTAACGTGTCAAGCCGAAATTGAACCCTACTAGCCGAAAATGTGCAAGTCTTCGCATTTTTAGTACTAAAATCTTACGAAATGAAACAATGTAGGTATTCCATAAAAAGAGTGTGAAATAAAAGCAAACTTAACAAAATATTCGTCTTGTATTGCCCAGGAATTATCATTCTATCAATTCGAATCATTATATTATATTACCCTCAATTACTCTGAAGATAGTTATAACAGCAAATGTTGCACATATGGCAAACTAAAAAAAAGACCAATTTTTGTAGCACTTTCCCTTAGGATAAGATGGATAAGATGTAGCACCTTCCCCTAGGATAAGATAAGATAAGATAAGATAAGATACATCTTTATTGTCCAGATCCTGGCACATTGGTTTGGTGTTTCTCCACGTGCACACATACACTCACGCTCAAACGTACTTACACACACACACACACACACACACACACACACACACACACACACACACACAAAAACACAAACACAGAAACAAAACATGCAAATACACGCAGGCTTACAGTAACGAATAATCTAATTGAACAATAATAATATAAACAATAATAATTTTTAAGCTAAATACATACCCAGTATTCTGACTGTAACTCAATATTATTCTGATGCAAACTAAAAGGTCATATGAGTACTTGTAACAAGATAGCTAAGATGGAAGCATTTTGATGGATGAGGGTAAAAATGACCTTCTGTATCTTTTGTTTTGTTACAGATCAGAAGCCTACGACTTTTACTTCTGACTGGTGTTTGTATTTGAGGGAACAAGGGTTGTCTGTTGTCCAAAAAGATGGAATTAATTTTTTTAGTGCATGCTGTAATGTACAATTCTAATGGACCTGTACCTGTGTGTTATCTGTCACATACATACATACAATAGTACATATATATATATATATATATATATATATATATATATATATATATATATATATATATATATATATAAGTGTGTAGAAATATATATACAGGTATATATATATATATATATATATATATATATATATATATATATATATGTATATAATGTAATAAATATTAATTATAATGATAACACTTCGTGCAGGCCTCATCTTCGACGAGCGTTCCCCGACTCTGGAGCGGTCAGTGCTACAGCACCTGCGAGAACACAGTGACAACAACAACTATTTCACGCTAGAGACACAAGTCCACCGGTTGGATACCAGTGACAGCTACAATGTCTCCCGTGCTCGTAAGTGTCCGTTGTCACCATCATCATCGTCATCATCATCATCATCATCATCATCATCATCATCATCATCATCATTGTATAAAGAAGGCATTTAAGACCTTGTTGTATTTCCAGAAAATATATATTTTTCACAGTTCAACGTTTCGCCAATAAGGCTTCATCAGGAACATAGTATTTGAGAAAAAAATAAATAAATGAGTGATAACGCCACAGCAACAAAGTGTTCACTATAAGTTACGTATTGCTGTGATTTGGACAATATCGGAAATATCTTCATCATCATCATCATATACACAGGCTATAAAAACTAAAGTGCGTACATACATGTCTGAATATTTAAAGGAGCGGTGAGTACAAATCGCCGGAGAGAAGGGAACACTAAAGCCAGAAGTGGTAGAGAGAGAGAGAGAGAGGGGGGGGGAGGTGCGTGGAAGTAAGGAATATAATAACAGAAGGGTGCGGTGAACACAAATCGGAAAGCCCAGAGACAGAGAAACACTAGGGCCAGAGGTGGCAGAGAGAGGGAAAGGAAAAGAGGGAGAGAGAGAGAGAGAGAGAGAGAGAGAGAGAGAGAGAGGGAGAGAGAGAGAGCGAGAGAGAGAGCGAGAGAGAGAGGGGGGGGGGACATATGCATGGAGGTAAGGAATATAATAACGGAAGGGTGCGGTGAACACAATCAATGAGTCGAAAAGGCTAGAGGAGGGGAAACACGAAGGCAAAAAGTGGAGAGAGAGACAGAGAGAGAGAGAGAGAGAGAGAGAGAGAGAGAGAGAGAGAGAGAGAGAGAGAGAACTAGTACGTGGAGGTAAGGAATATAACAGAAAGGCAGGGCCAAAGGGAGGGGGTTGCAGGAACATAAGGGGTGATTAGTACGTTACGTTGTAAATTTTAGGTCCTTAAAATGGGGCTCGTCGATGTTAAGGCCAGTGAGAATTTTGTGAGACCCCAAGTTCCAAATCCACATTGATTCTCTTTGGTTAAGTTTTTCTTTAGTTGGATATTGGACTATTTCAATACCCTGAAGCTGCAAATCGGAGGTTCCATTGTGACCATGACTGTTGAAATGTTGGCCGACTGGTGTGCTGGAGTTTTTCTGGACTGAATACATATGGTTATTGAACCTAGCTCTTAGTGCGGTGGTAGTTTGACCTACATATTGAGCTGGACAGACTTTACAGGATATGAGGTAGATTACATTTTTGGTTTCACAAGTGATGCTGTGGGAAAGTTTTCTTTTAAAGTGGGGGCCTTCTACAAAGTTGGTTACTTTCATGTAGGCACATGTTTTGCATCTAGGTTTTTGACAAGGATAATTTTGAGGTGGCGAACATGGGTTTACCGGAAGTGAGGACGTGCTCTAGTGCGAATGAGGAGGTTGCCAAGATTAGGAGGCTGACGAAGTGCAATCAGAGCAGGGTCGGGGAAGCAGGCTTTCATTTTGTCTGATTTTTCCAAGATGCTTTTGTGTTGGCTGTGGATTTTATGTACATTAGGTAGTCTTTGGTGATGAGTAGTGACGAGAAATGGTCTTTTCTGTTTTGGCTTTAGGGGTTTGTAGGTCAGGAGGGTTGTGCGGTTCAATTTGCTGACTTTCTCGATAATGGGCGTTATAAAATGTTTTCGGTACCCAATGTGAAGAAGGTTGACTGTGAATTCCTCTATCCGTTGTTTAAAAGAATTTTCACTGGAACAAATGCGGCGTAGTCTAAGGGCACCACTATAGACCACAGAACGGAATGTATGTTTAGGATGGTTTGAAGAAGGTCGGAGGTAACGATTAGAGTCGGTAGGTTTCTTGTACAGGTCTGTCTCAATTTGGTTATCTGCAATGAGAAGGGACATGTCCAGGAAAGAAGTGGACTTATCTGGGCTGGAATAAGTAAATTTGATGTAGTGGTGCACTACATCATCATCATCATCATCATCATCATCATCATCATCATCATCATCATCATCAGTGGAGGTGCCGCTAAGTATAATGACAATGGAGCCGAAAAAGAGCCTCGGTCTCTCTCGAAGATTTCTTCGTGGAGTCCGCCAGGCCTATTAAGAAAACAAAACCAAAAAAAATCATCATCATCATCTATGGGTACTCCGTTAGCTGAATTCGTATCCTGCTTGACGACTGAAAGGATAGTCATGGTTCAAAGTCCAAACTACGCGTTCTTGAGCATGGTTCGTTTTGCAGAGTTTTAAAGGCTCTCACTCAACCTAACAGACTCGATCTTATGGGAGACAGATCTGCCTCTTAAATCTTGTACGAGTATTGATAGGGGCATTGAACCCATAAACGTATTTTATTCATAATCAAAAGGCATACTAAATAAGAAGAGCCTTCCAGATATTGCTAGAGGTTTAAATACAAATTAAAGAATGTATGTACTAAACAACTCAGCTGTTCACCTCAAAGGCTTTCTGTGAGCAGCTGAAAAGAAAATTAAGGAATTCATTGTTGTAATAATATACACAGCAGAGGGAGGACATAAGCATCACCAGTCTCATAAAGAAGTAAGAAGGTATGAATGATGTGTGAAGACGACATTGACAGAGAGAAAGGGAAAGAAAATTAGCGAGAGAGAAAGAGAGCGAGATACACACGTACACACACACACACACACACACACACACACACACACACACACACACACACACAAACACAAACACAAACACATACACAGAGAGAGAGAGATAAAAAGAAAGAGAGAGAGAGAAATTGAGAGAGAGATTGAGAGAGAAAGAGAGAGAGAGAAAGAGAGAGAGAGAGAGAGAGAGAGAGAGAGAGAGAGAGAGAGAGAGAGATGAGGGGGTGCAGGGGAAGCCAAAAACATAAATTGAGACTCAGGCAAATAGCTATAGACAGAGACAATCAGACCCTTTTCCAACGAGATAGAAAGCCCATTGTGTTATCACGGTACATTTGACTATGTTATTGTCCTTCCAAAGAGCAATAAAGAACAAAATTGCACGATTCACGTTGTAATCATCACTATCAGCAAGATAAAGAACCGTCTTTATATTATTAAAGAACTGATTATTAAATTATCGACAGGAAGTTCACTATTGTAACGATATTTAATCTAAGGTGGCAAGGGAGGGGGTAGGAGGGGAAGGGTATTAAAAAAATCTACTTGAACTTACATTTAAAGGCCTTAGTGCAACTTTAGAGTAAACTTTATATGGAGAACAATTTTTGACATTTTCACGACCTTAATCATCTGAATTGACTCAACTTTAAAAAGACAACAAATGATATCAATAAGCCATTTGGTGTTTTTACATTGCCCTATCGACGTTGGTGTTACATTTGGTGTTGTAATATTTTGCAATAAAATGCTTTTGTGAAATCAGAGTTTGAAAAGATGTAGAGTGCAAATTATACAGGAGGTAGTTTTTCAAAATTGCATCTCGTTTTGTTTGAATGTGTGCTTAGCACCTTTCTCAACTCTTAGCAAGTCGCCAAAGCCAGTAAACCGAAATGTTGTGTGTGAAAAAGTTAGATTCTCGGACTAAAAAGTTATTTTGTCGAATATCTCCACCTGTGTACAGCGACGGTGCATCTCGCTCTGTCCCATTTTGGTTCGTACAGACAAGATCGAAGACAGTCAGTTTCAAAATAATCTAAAATGTGTCTGTGGGTCTGTAAAACGTTCCTCGTATACAAAGAACAATGAAACAGTCAGTTCTAATCTCTTCTTCATAGAAATTCCACTCAAAACTCCCACATCTATTTTTGAGTGCGATGTTTTATTTTTGGCTGGGATATTATGCAAAGCAATATTATGAGAGATGGCATTGCAATCGGAAATCCATTACCTGATTGTCGTGACATAAAAATGTACAAGTCTGGTAGAGATGGCCATCTAGCCTCACGGAACTGTTGCTGTCTGTCTTCTCGTTACCCTCTATTCAAACTGAACGCATTGTAAAGACTGAACGGTTTGCATTATTGATCTGCGTTGTTGACGCGCTACACTTTGAAAGTAGAGAGGACGACAGAGAAAAAAAGAAAGCGATACAGACACACACACACACACACACACACACACAGAGAGAGAGAGAGAGAGAGAGAGAGAGAGAGAGAGAGAGAGAGAGAGAGA